TGATATAATGGAAATTTACATTCTCGATTTCGTTCTGGTTCAACATTAAAGCTTAAACTAACACGTGATGGGAAGATGAATCTATAATTTTGTATACGACTATACATCATCCGATTTATTTAAACAACATTTCAGTTGAAAAAAACATATAAAGCTGAGTAAAGTATTTGATTTTAGTTTTTTGAGAATTTTTAACTTTCCGTTCTAAAATCTTAATGTTTTCATTCTCTGAAAAATATTCAACAGAAAATTTTCGATAAAATTTTTGTTTGTAGTATATGAAAATCCTTCAACCATAGTTAGAATGTATGTATTTTATAGAGCAATTATTTTACAAAATAACACTAAAATAAGCTGTCAATTATTAGGAACAGGTGGAACAATTCCTTGTAATGATATTTAATTTTTTTATTTGCAAGCATTAATGTAATGAATGGAATCAGTTATTGAACATTACTTATGAGATAAAAATGTTAGTTTTTCAGTAGATTTTTAATGTTTTCTGTAGTTTTTTCGATAATTTTGAACTTAATGAAATGGGAAAATCCTCACTGTGCTCTGGACAGGTTGTTTTGTTGAATGCTATGTGAATAAAAGCTGTCTTGATAGACCATCCTGATGGCTTCAAAATGCATTCCCCGCGCGTGAGGAATGCACGTGCATTTTCTGATCATTTTTAGGTTAGTTACCTTGATGTGTCGACAAAACATAAATCACTACATTGTTTTGATGATAATAGCTAAAGTGCTTTCGACAGACCTCAGTAACGCATCAGAAAGTCATACGGCGCTAGCTACATCCAAGACACTTAGTCGTCCATCAGCTTACGTAGTTGTATTCAAGACATCGGAAGTGCATTGAGACCCTTATTAGACACAAAGTCAGTCTGGTACCTAGGTAAGACATCTCTGGCAAGAGAAATAGAAAGATAACATTTTCAGAAAAGCGCTCTATCTACATTGTTTCTTTGTCCATTATACTGACTCCTTTACTTTGGAAAAGACTGTTTTTAATCTGTTACTTGTTTACTTAATTATGTTAGACTCAAGTCTAATTTGATTTATTCATATGTTAGATTTGAACGGTATCATTTGTGCGGACAAGCACAAATGATATGGATGCTGATAACAGTTCAGTGATGCAACTGCAGCCGATCTGTTAATATTTATAATATACTTTCCTGGCATGCATATCGATGACGGCAATGGCTGCCAGGAGAAAATTTCAAGTAAGGAAATAATCTCAAATAGAATTGACTATGTTAATGCTTCCATTAGATGTGTGGTGAAATGTCTGTCTTATCTATGAATTGATTTTCGATAGTAAATGTTTCTGGTATTTTAGGAAGAGTTGAAAATTAAATCTGTATAGATATATACACAATTTTCTCTGCTTTAGTAGAACAATCGGATGATATTTATGTTATATCCTAATTTAAGTTTTATATCAATAAAAAAACGGTAGTTTGTCCCATACATTTACTTAGATGTAATCTGGAAGTTAAAAATCCCATAATCTTCATCCTAGACAGACCTATTCATCTCTTTTATGTGTATTTTTGGCCGTAGTCCGCTTTTATACGGTATCCCAGTGTATTTAATGCATTCTGGATGCTTTATGGACATCGCGATACCCTAGTTTATGCATCAAAAATGCATCTGATTTACATGGGAGAATGCATTCGACGTGCCTAGACTAAACATCCACGGTCTCACGAAGATACTATGGATGCATAAAATTGGAATCCAAGCGCCTTCGTAAGACATCGTGACGCGTCTTTTATATGGAAATACCTTCTTATTGATCAAAAATGAGGTTGCCTTTCAGGCGCCAAAAATGCACCTCTTTTTTTCAGAGTGTGGTTTTACAAATGAAACTTTTTTTACAACACTTTTTTTATATCAAATAAGAAGATATGAAGTCGATTGAGTTATGAATTGATGGAAATATACAAATTTTCTATTCGATAATGATTTTTAGAATATTCTGTAGTATAGATAAGTTTAAAACACAAAAATCTTTGACGATTATGTATGTATATATTTACAAGATGTATAGTATTTAATGATCAAGTTGTTTTTTATATGCTTGTTGGCTATGACAAGGTTAGATGTCAAAAAATATATAAACAAACTGTTGTTACCTTTTTTATTCGAGGTTTTTGCGATTAAAATTAGATAAGAAAGAACTTTTCTTTCATCTTGAGAAGATAATTAAATGATGATTGCTAAGGCCGTAGAGTATAATGGTACGTTTCTCTTTGTGTATAAAAACAAAACCCCCTGCACAGATCGAACATAGATTGTAATTTTGCCCTATATTTTTTATATTCTGCTGGCCGAAATATAAACCGTAATTTCACAACCTAAATTCAATTTATTGATTTCAATTTATTTGTTCGACTTATATGTGATTGAAAACAATTTTTCTTTAGATATTAGATACAATCAATTTGTTTTGTGTTTCTATTAACAGACTTTAATACAAAGCATGAAAATATAATTTCACATTGTTGGACAAGTCAAAAGACTGCTGTTTGAAAAACATGAATTACTTCATCTTTCAAAAAAAAACTTGTTTGCTTAGTGACATGAACTATTGGATGTACGTAATTACCAGTCATTTTTATAAATATGAAACATGATTGAGAAAATCGCGTGACATTCATACACGTTGATTTGTTTTACTCAAAAAAATTTAGAATGCACAGAATAGGGACATTTTCTGTAAGTATTTGAAATCTCTAGTCGATAAACTATGTGAAATACATGCCAAACGTAAAGAGGAATGTCTATAACCAAGACTAAGTACAATGTTTCACGTTTCTCCTATTGCCTGAGAAAATAATTTGGGTATTATATCTTCGAAAAGAGCAATTGGGGCTTTGACAAATATAGTATGTTTAAATCAGTTAATCAATTTAGAGATGTTAATAATCTATTTTATATTTTGTTTGAACTCTAAATAATCTGACTAGATCTCCAAAGGCTGACTAAATAGAGTTATTTTTGAGTTGTCCAGAATGCAGAGTACATTTTTTCCTATAAAATACGATGTTATTCATTTCGCCTAAGTCTCAGCCGAAAACGAGATTCAGATACATCTTTTTGCTATATGCTTGTCTTTATATCTTTCCAGTAGAAGGGCGGGCGCCAGGAGCTTGCGATTGTCTCATTTTATGAAGAAAAATGTGTCAGATATTACAAAAATATTTAGCACTATTAAAAAGAAATTTTAAACAATGTATTGACATGTGGGGGCATGTGTATACATGTGGGGGATGATATATCTCATAACCAAGAGCATTGGAGAGCCCTGACACGTTTTATATTGTTAAACACACTTTTCTTTATAGAATGAGACAATCGCAAGCTTCTGGCGCCGTTCTATTCGAAAGATCTAAAGACAAACAATAGCGAAAAACATGTCTAAATCACATTTTCGGCTGAGTTACACACTTTTCCTAAAGATCAACATCTCTTTCGATCTAGTATGTATTTTCTTAAAAAATCCTTTTACTCATAAATACTAAGACTAGACTATAATATCATATTTATTCGTTTCTCTATAATCCCACAGATGGAAGCTTTTTGTTGATGATATTCATCCGCCAGACTACTCCCACAATGTCTGTTTATATTTGTTTTGATCCACAAACAGATTTTTCATTTCTCTCTTTCCCTCATACCACACTCTATCGATAACAAACAGCAATCAATATTATATTAATATTGTTTCCATGATCATTTTTATCATTCTATATAGGACAGAATTATTTTAATGATAGCGACATTTTACGGTTTTCTGATAAATTAACTCAATCTTTACAAATTTGCGGATATACTATAGTTGTAGTCAATCTAAATATTTGTGGGGGTGTGGTATATAGCACTGATACTATACAACTAGAAAGCAATATTCTTTTTACAGAATCATCAAAGAAAAAAAGAAAATAGAAAAAAATATCAACTACAACAGAGAGCAGCTTATCACACATATTGCTTAATCAATTTGGTAGATGAGTGGGAGAAAATGAAATAATTTGATGACATGAGATGAGACTTAACTACAGTACACTAGAACCAGGTGATAATGTCTAAAAAACTAAGAGATACTTTTCAAGTCTAATATTTTATTTATTCATTTTATAAGATGCGTAGAGATTAGTACACTATCGGAACAAAAAGAGTGAAATGAGATTTTTTCCCTCAACAAAAATTCGTCATTATAATAACAAAAAACGAGACGTGTTTTCTTTTGATTTGTTTGCTTACATGTCTGGTTGGCACAAACCCAAGCGTAGAGTATGTGTACATATGCTTTCTACATTCAACTAATAAGTTCATTCGTTCTATATATTTTTTTTCTCGTTCTTTTTTCTTCTCTTTTCATGACAATGAAAGATACATAGATTATAAGGCACACTTTCATTCATTTTTTGGATCAAGTCCAAAATATTATTGTATATTTCTCTTTCCCCATGTGATGTACATTATTAAAATTGACGAATGAAATTTGGCTGAGCTTTTTCTCATCTATTCTTTCTTTTCTCTCCTTTCTTCCCTCGTTCTCATTTTTCTCTTATTCTTCTATTCATTTACAGAAAGTATTCGTCCTAAGTAGACGTGTTTTTTTGTTTGTTATAGTTTTTACTCCCGTAAACTTTTTTTTTCTACCGTTTTATATACGTAGTAGTGATTTATCAATTAATGAAATTATTTTATTTAGATCTATATATTGGCATTCTCCGTTTATACGTGTATCCATAAATTATTTACTATATTTCTGTAAATAAAGACAATACTCGGGCACTCATTTATTATCCTATTTCTCGATACTCTTTCTCTTTTGTCTCTGTATTGTTATTCATATTGTCACATTCGTTGTGGCGTATATATATTACAACGTAAACTTCTCTCTGTCTCTATGTCATAACTTATTCACATTTTATCGACAATATAAATAAACAAATTAATTGAATATTTCAAACCAACAATAAAATGTCGACGCTTGTTCAACGACCATCAGCATTGACAACGGCCACTAATCGATGTTCAGCTAAAATACAATCAAGTAAGCATTTTTAAAGATTTATTTTAATAGTAGCATGAAAGATCAAAATGTAAACTAACACAAATACGAAAATTTTTTACATTGTCTCAAAATAAGGAACTAATCAGTAAGTTTTTGTAACGTCTCTAGAAAAGACCTTGGTATACAAAATTATTTTTGAAAAGGTTTGTCTAGTAGATGTAGATGAGTGATAGTGAATACAGTTTTTTTATGCGTAGTGTAAACGTATGTTCGCTCATTTTTTGGGAAGAAAAGGCGAAAAGGTAATTTCATCATTTTACGCCAACTATACTATGATGATGTGTAAAGTTGATTTTTCTTCTTCTTCTTCTTTTTTTTTACCGAGACATATTAATGATTAAGAAATCGAAAAAAAGAAGTTAAATTTAGATTGTATATCTGTATCAGTTCTAATCGATTGTACGATATTGTGAGTCAGTAAATGCGACTGAGAGTATACGATATATCATAAAATTGTACTTACCATTTTGTATTTATATTTTCTGAAGGTAGACTGAGAAATTCGAACTTTAAAAATTAAATTTTATATATAGATATCTATATTTATTTATTTATTTATTTATTTATCGATTTTTATATATATAGATGAAGAGTAATGTACCTATTTTACATGATTGAAATAATAAAGTTTTAAACGGTTGAGAAAACATTCTTGAACTTAAGAAAATATTTTTATGAAATTCTATTTTGAGAAATGAATTGTTATGTTAATATTTTGTCTAAGATGAAGAATAAGAGACAAAATAAGTCATAAGTACTATCTGAGCGGCATTTTCGTACATTTGAAAAAAACTAAAGTCTTATAATATCTGTTGGTCTTGAAATCGTAAAAAGAAAACATGATTATACTCTAGTTTCTCAGTTGTAGTGATACTATTGTACTGTTGCATTAATGCAACGAATGAAATGCGTTCAATTTTACTTAATGCTATGATATCATGCTTTCGTCTTCCTTCTCGACTATAAATCAAGAACCTAGAGTTCACTTCGTGAAAATAACTTTTTATCTAGAATAAAAGGATGTTTGTTGTCTAATAGGGAAATAACTACCAGCTATGGTCTATTAACATCGAAAATTTTAGCCATGTAAATGAGGATGAGTGTTGTTTTTGGCTATTCTACGTTTTACATATAAACAAGGCTCAAAAAAGAATTCAGTGGATAATTGTTTCGACATTATTGTTATCGATGCAAAATATGTCACGTTGATTTCGACTATTGACAGCCTTACGTGAAGCAAAACTGATTGAGATAACTGTCGTGAGAAATTATTATATTTCTTTTTTATGTAGTCAAAGTAATCGATTGAAAAAAAAATACAAACAATAATGACAGGTGTATGTTTTATAAAAATAATATCGATGCAATTGAAACAGACCTGGCCACGTGACCAGTATAGAAACGACTGTTGATTCGAGATAAAATGTGTTTTATATATGAGGGAACTGTAACCCAAGAATTATTTGTTTTTTTTGTTAATAAAAATCTATCACCGAATTATAACTTTAACGGATTCTTCCCGCTTCTATTATCCATATATCATTACTTTATTTTAATTCTTGTCAACGCTTAGGTACTCATTTATTTAGGCACGTAAATCATCACGTTTTCTATTGTTTAGTTCTATCACAAATCGATAGTTTCTACTTTTATTTGATGATGATTTTTCTTCTAACAATTGAGTACATCTATTCTTATTGTATAATAAGCTTCTTTTTTCTTTAATGAAAGAATAGAACAGTGGTGTTCTTTTTGTCAATTGTAATAATTACGATGTAAAACGAAGAAAATATGAGAAAGTAAACCTTGTTAGACTACTATCACGCATTATTACACGTGGCTAATGTAATGGGTGTACGCTTTAATCTTGAACCAGAACGAAATCGAGAATATAAATTCCCATTCAAATGCAATTGCTGTACAACGTTCACTGACCTACTGTTTCGATTACACAATTATCTTGATTTTTTGTTAGAAAGAAATAGAAGAAGAACCTTCTCTATTCTATAGGGATGAGTAATATCCTTGGTTTAGATAAGACAACAACTAACGGCAAAAAAACTTGAATCTTCGCCAGATTTTTTAGAAAATAAATCAAAGAGTTAATTCTGAGGTACATTTCTGCTATTCTTCATGCCTGAACAGTAAAAGTGAGACTTACGTTCAAATTCTTCCTTCCTTAGCTATTCAATGGTAACTAAATCATAGGTTTTGGACGTGGTTGAACATGATCAACTTTTGCCCGTTCTAACTTCGCTAGGTTCATTTCTTATGAAACTGTTTGAATGACACAGCTATTACCCGATCATCAATGCTTATCCGATGCTAAAGTTCAATAGAACACATTGCTCTTTCACAAAAACTTCAAAGAAAATAATTTCGACACAAGGCAATCGTTCATGTATCTTAACAGTCTGTAATATGTCAAATAGGTCGAACATTTCTTCCTATTCTTTAATACTTTTTATCATAGAACTGATTGCTTCGATCTAGAACTGAAGAAACATAACAAAATCAAAATGTCTTTATATTATTTTTCATTAAATTTCGCGTTGGTACACGCATCGTTTTAAGACAATCATTCTTTTTTTTTCCTATGGCATGAAAACAATTTAATTGAATTATATGTGAGCTGCTGCTCTAAAAGTGTACTCATTTTTCTTCAAACGAGAGAACGAGAACATGTATACGTCTTGTGCTCTGGCTTGTTTCCAGATATGTCTGCATTCTGGAATATACATCTTTTGCGATAATGGAAAAGAAAAAGAAAAGAACAAAAAATGTGAAGTGTGTGTGTATATATTAATATATATATGTTCAATGCGGCATGATTTTTGTAATTCAAACAAGAAAAAAGCAGAAAGAAAGTTTTTAACTCAGAACGTTATGTATACGATGATATATGAAAATCAGTGTAATATTGGTCCGTTGCCAGAAATAATAATCAAATACTTTTATATCATATTATCATGAAAATTTTATTTATTTTTATTTTAGATCCAGATCCATTGAAAGCACGTTATTTAGTGTCACATAAAGTTGGTGCAGGTGGATTTGCCGATGTTTATGCTGGCATATGCAAAAAAAATGGTTTGCCTGTTGCAATCAAAGTTATCCCGAAAAAACGAATGCGTGAAATTATAACGGTAAGATGAGTTTGATTAGTTTGAACACGATTCTTAATGACATGTATGGAATTAATCATGCGTAGCTATTCGATTTGTTCTAAACAAAAGATATATCTATTGTAACAATTATATTCTTTGTTGATTTTGATCTATTCTTCTTTAATACTATTCTTTTCTATCTCTATATATTTATACATTAATCTTCATACGACATCTTTTATATAGTCATAAAAATAGACATACATAACCAATGTTAGATATACAGAACAATATCTATATATTATTCATTGCCTCAAGGTTGATAACTTTTTTTTTTTGTCTCATCAGCATGATCTGTCACAGGTCATTTTACCTCTTCTTGCTTAGTATATTTGAATTGAAATAAGATGAGACTGTATCAAAAAGGTAGCCTATCACCATTTTTATACATAAAAAACATAACTACGCTTTTTTTCCGGTATAAAGGTATATAATTGTCTTTCAATAAATACTACGGTTCTTCCTTTTCATTTCTGTTTGTCATTGCTATTGCAATTAAGCTCTTTTAACTTGTTTACAAGAGACGAACGAAGTATCAATAAATGTTGATTTGTCTCTTAATACACATAAGATTATATTGAAGATACAAACCTATAGTAAACAACTAATTAAATTCAACAATTAGGAAAGAGTTCTAAGTCATACAGTATATTTCGTTCCGTGATCATTTTTATTTCAACTGTTAACCACGCTCCATATTTCTAAAACTACGTTGACATGGGTTTTACGTTCGTTCAACAAAAATTAATTTTGTATTATTTTTGTAATGTCGAAAGAACAGAAAGGAAAGAAGAAACTTCTTATCTTATTGTACGTCATTCGTTCATTCATGAAAATTAATGGGGCTTTTTCGGTTCAATAAATTTGATTTTCGTTTTCTTCCTCATCATATGTATAAGAACACGTAGAGATATATACATACTTATTCTCATTTTATTTTTAGTTCGGCTTCTATTTTCATTTTATTATGAGTATTCGTGACATAGAATAAAGTCTAATTATCATTATTGATCATGAATGAAATAAAAAAAAGAAAATTAAAGTTCTTTTTTCAAAAAATTCTCGTTTTTTCTTTTTTGGACTAAACGAAGTCGTTCAAATGACATAAAAACAAATTCCTTAGATAAAATGAAAATGAAGAAGGAAACATGCACGCACACTATCAACACTCACGCACTTACACATTTTACAACTCTATTTTTTTTTTCTATTTCTTTTAACCAAGTTTTTTAATTAAAATACCTTCTTGCAATGAATTTTGTCATTTTTCTGCAAGGATTGTGCGATAAACATAATCGGGAATAATTATTTCAAGTTTATTGAACTTTTTGTAGTAATGAATGCATGGTCAGAGAAAACTAGATACACTTCGTCAAGAAATTAAGTCTTATATCTAGTTTTATTTTTTGTTATAATATCATACACGAGACGCAATTTGCTCTACATTATTTTACACTTAAAAAAGGCTCAGATGCTTCGTTATATTGAAATATTTCTCACATTTTTTATTTCTCCTCCTTTTTTGTGTCCCCATTTACACGCCCCACTCTTCTTTCATTATCAAAATAATATCATGAGAATTACGATAGCTGAAAAAAAGAAAAGAGCAAAACAAGAATAATAACGTATTCAATTGTGTAACATTATTTTTGATAAAAAGAAGAGAAAAAAAGAACCTATGAGAAATTTAGAAAATAAAAATCTGATGATAAAAATTTATTTGTCTAAAAAATAAGATTAAATGAGACGAAAACATGGGGACATTTTACCATTAAGCTATAAACTAATATTTCATCAAATTAAAAATGAAACAGTGATACCAGAAAGCTATTCGAATACTTAATGAAAGACATAGAAGTATTAGCTGTTTCAATTAAGAACTTTTATTCTTTTAAATTTCTTTTGCCTCAATGAGACAGTAAAGATATACCGATCTACCTATCCATAAAGATGTGTTGAAGATCATATTCCGATAAATCTGATAATATGTGTAAAGTAAGAGGCTAAGTTCATTTTAAAATGTAGTCCTACTTGTATAACTCAGTTCATTAACGCCCTTAGAGATGCGACTTGTTTAGTAACATCATGTATGGAGGAAATAGTTGTGGATGCGGTCGGTAGTACGATCGAAAAAAAAAGCTGGCAAAATTTTTGATGACAGAATAAATAAATGAAAATGATGAACGTTCACGGGTTCATACGTGTGCGAAAAACTTGTGCTCATAACGAGCTAAGTGTACGTTATGTATTATGATAGTTGATTGCTTATGAAAAATAAGTATGTTCGCGTTTTAGTCAATTCTGATGTTATTTGACCTTGCAAACTAATTATGAACACATTGCGATGATAACGTTCGCACAAATCACTAGTATTTCGGTTTTTTTCAAATCTAGTCTGATTTAGTCTTATAATAAGCGTTTAAAACATAATCAATGCTGCGATACTAAGTATGATATAAAATAGTGTTAAACAGAGTCTCTTAACAAAGCAAAAAAAAAACTGAGTACGCCTATGCCACTTGGTAAAGATAATCAGTGCACATTACACTTCATCTTAAAGAGCAATTTAAAAACATGATTTTTACCAATGACACTTGTGTCTGTCTTCTGCCATTTTTTAAACCGTATCTTTTTCTAAAACATTATTTCATTTATATTTCTAGCCTGAAGGCAAATTACCACTTGAAGTTGTTTTATTAAAACGTGTTGCTAAAGTGAAAAATGTTGTTAAATTATATGAATATTTTATTCACAATGATCAACTTATAATTGTATTAAAACGTCCAGAATCATGTTGTGACTTGTATGATTTTATATCCGAACGTGGTGGTCTAGATGAACGTTTGGCAAGAGATTTTTTAAAACAAATCATACAAATTCTACAAGATGTTCATCGTTGTGGAGTAAGTAATGATTATTTTCTCTCAGTTTTGCTATTAAAAATATTCACATTCCTTTTTTCTTTCTACTACAGGTATTACATCGAGATATCAAAGACGAAAATTTTCTTGTTGATATGAAAACTGGTGAACTATTACTGATTGATTTTGGTTCTGGAGCTTTGTTGCATGATGGAATTTACACAGAATTTGAAGGTAAGAAATATCGAAAGTTTACATCAAATATCCTTTTCATTGATCTTTTTACTTTTTTTAGGCACTCAAGTTTATTCACCTCCTGAATGGATTACATGCCGGCGTTATTTTGGTTTACCAGCCACTATTTGGTCATTAGGTATTTTACTTTATGATATGGTTGTCGGAGATATACCCTTCACTGACGAATTACAAATAATTAAATGTCAATTAAAATTTCCAGAACATTTATCTCAAGGTAAGTCTGTGTTATTTATGTAACTGTACTACAGTCATAGTCAGAAGCGTAGAATTGTACCTAGTATGTGATGAATACAATAAGAGGAATAAAAGCACAGCTTGAGTTATAAAACTGATGCAAGGAAACAGAAAGTTATTTCTCGCAACAGCTTTTATTTCACTATTCGATTTTCTTTCGCGGTAGTTATATTATTGAAAGAAATAGAAAAACGAAAAAGTAAGGTCGAGGTGGAGCTGACCCACAAAATTTGTTTATCATACTGTATAATAACTTAACGCAAAATAAAGTATCTTACTCTTTCTAAGTAAGAACTGTTAAAATAATTACAATTAATTTCTGTCGGGTTGCATGTCTTTCTGTTTTATTATTGGCCAGATGTATACTTACTGATGCTAATAATGGGATATATGTTGTTATATATTTAGTAGAAACATACGGCAATCTTCTTTTTAAGAATAATAGTAATGACCTCTTTTGCAGATATAGACTTTCTATATTTTGAATTTATACTTTTATGTATGTCAGAATATCTTGACTATTATCAATGCATATGGACTTGTTGAAAAGAATGATACAAAATTGTATTGAATCTTTTTTCTAGAATGTATCAATTTGATAACGCAATGTTTGTCAATTCGTTCATCTGAGAGACCAACCATTGACCAATGTCTTCAATCCAGCTGGCTAAAATTACCCAATTCGCGTGATTTGCGTTTAGCAACATCATTACGTTCAAGAAAAGACAGTGTAAAATCGAACGTTAGTTCATTAGTATCCAATGGATCTCGTGGTAATTCATCCTAAAAACTACTAAATATTTTCTTCTGCATAGTCTTATGCGTGTGAAAGAAACTTTTACAATACAAAATAATAATATTAAAATTTCCAAATAATATTTGTTCTTCGTTCTTGAAACTATAATTTTCCGTCTAATAGAATCTAAATTTCCCATCACTCTATGCAAATAACAACAAGCCTATGACAAAATATCAGTCTCACTCACTCTCTCTCCCTCTCTCTCTCTCTCTCTCTTCTCCTATCTCAATCAAATTTTCACTTTTTTATTTTTTAAATCTCATTTGACCATCCTTTATTGTTTTTCTTTTCTTTTCATATACAGTTGTATAAAAAATGTTTGACACAATACGTGAAAACACATTTTATTTTTCTATAAAAGAATAGATGCACTTTATTTTTTTACACGAAAAAAACAAACAAACAAACAAAAAGATGTTCTTAATGGGATGAGATAATATGAACAACTTTCCCAAGTAATATTTCAAACAGTTGACTTTTCAAAAAAAAATAAAAATGAATACCGAACATTTGTTTGTTTGTTTGTTTACTTCTAACTTGTATATAAATTTCCCTATACTTTCACTATCGGTTTAACCATGTGTATGTACAAAGTACAAATGTACATGCTTATTTACTTTTCATGTGCGTGTTTATTGTATGTTAACCTCGACTAAGAGACAGCAATACATACCGATCATCACTTTACTGACATTAATAAAAACTTGTACATTTGTTGTTTTTTATTTTTCATCACACAGTGAATTCATTCTTATAATTGATAAAACAATGATAATCAGTTCATTTTTGTTGTGTGCTATTTTATTGAGGGTGCACTTTCTCTTCATTTTCCCTTCATAAACTTATCTTTTCTGCTGTTAATATGGAAAACAGTATCAGTGTGGTTTATTCCGCCCTTGAGAACATTTTGGTCCGTATTTCCCATTCGTCTTTTTGGACAAATTTCGTTTGTTATACATTGTTGATTGAACGTTTCAATTGGATTTTGTTTCTTTTTCTCATCATTTTCAGTGCACATTGTACAGTTAAACTTTTTATTTTCTTTGTTTTTTCTTGTATCTGGAAAAGTAAGAAACGAGAGGTGAATATGGACGGTTTACGAAACATTTACTAAAAATAATGAATTTTTATATACGACCGTTCAAAGGGATAGATCAGACGATTGAGAAGAGAGATGTTTGTTGTTACGACTTTTTTCAATGGATTGTTTACTTTCATTTCTGTATTTTTGTCCTGTTTTCAATTTTTGATTCCATAAAATAATAAAAGAAAGAAATATAAAGAAAATGAATCTGTCATTACACTCTTATGAACTAAAGTAGATTAGAAACTTCAACTTCAAGTGCTCCCATATGATCATCTAAAAACATAAACACACCACGATTTTTATCTGGACTGACAGGATGTCCATTCGTCAATCCCAGCCCATTAGAATAAATGAAGCTTCTCTTGTCGACATGCATTCGAGCTTTGGTATTCAATATCAGTTTGGAAAAATTTTGAACTCTAGAAACGTTTGGAAATCGAAAAGTGACCAACGCAGTTGGTTTTTACACCCAATCGGCAAGTTATGCCATGTTTTGGACATGAATTCGGATAGCACCTTTCTAATAGTTAAATGGTTCGCTTATAACTTTATTTTCTGCCCTTTATTCGGAGAAAACATATGAACCATCATAACAGCGTAGAGCTCGTCTGATAAATTTATACTACCACGGTGAAATTTTGTCGAGATTTCACGACGTCAGTTGCACATCAGTTGAGCGGTTATATGTGACCTTTCTATAATTTCATGCGTGTTCACAAGCGAGAATTTCTTTTTACATGTGTCCACACATCATTTTACGATGTTCACTAGTGACCAAGTGCGAAAAGTATGACGCAAAAGAGTTTCCATGGACAGTTCACGCGTCCATACCCCATAGGTATGAACACTTCAGACTATAAATTGCTGGCTTATAATGAAAATACCAAAAAATACCTCTAAACTATTAAAGTTTTTCATCTTCGAAAACCTTATAAATCAGAAAGAAAAGAGTCTTAAAAATATTCCAAGAAAGCACGTCTGAATTATGGCCGCAAGTGTGTGTGGGTAAAAACCTATCGAATAAATTATTTTTTGGAAGTTAGGATCATAATTTAACACAATGAATTACGATAGAGAAAAAAAGATTTTGAGAAAAACATGAAACAAAGCCACTCCTATTTATCAGTAAAATTTGAAAATTAATATCGATATTTTATACCCAAAGTGATACCATATATAAATCAACGATCAGGGTGGTTCTATTGATTTTATGAAAATAAGAGTCTTTTTCTGTGTAAAATACAAGCGTAAAATTTAAGAAAAGCGTATAGAAAAAGTCTACCAGAAAGAGAAGACTTGATAGTATATAAATTCAGAGGTAGGCAAGTGCGATCATTTACAAGTTCCACAGAAAATTTTTTGCTTGCACAATAGTGTCTGCCTGATTATTAGAAGTATAGTTAAAACATTACATATGAATGAGAACAAGAAAAAAAAAATGAAAAACAAGAATGTTACGAAATTAAACTGGAATTACATTTTAATAATGTTAAATCTGAAAGCGTATCTTTTGACGTTGTAGTTCGATGTGATGTCATAAGAAAGTCACTTTATGAGAAAACGCACTCAAATACATATAAAATTCCACCGACTTTAATTTTGGATAAGGTAGATCTTGCTTGCACTTCAAAAGGACTTGAAAAAATTCCTCGAATCCAAGTAAAGTCCGTCAGCAAATGGTTCAAGTCTGGACTTAGATTTACCCATCTCTGTGTAAATTAAAAACACAAAATTTTTTATTTTTAGGGGAAGTGGTATTCTTAAAAGCATGAATAAAAAGGCATCCATATTCTCTGTTTCTCTGAATTACGTTTATTCATTGTCACTTAGTATACAAATAGCCTCAAGTTTAAATAAGCAAAATTCAATTACATTAGTCAAAATTTTTTGGGAACAAAAGAAAAAAAGTTTCTTTTCATCATCACTTTTGAAAACAAAAAATTGTTTGAAGATGTTAATTTTTAACATTAAACTTATTTCCTTCAACAATTACTTGTTCTTCGCGACGTACTCTTTAAACTTATATCCTTCTTCATACATTTTTTTGTTGATATTGTTACCCTTCACAACAGCTGTCTTAAAACTGTGTAAAATAGATTTTTCAATTTAACTAAAGAAATTTGCCTGTCGGACTTATTGGAAAGCTTTTTCTTTTACAATAGACAACACAACTAAAAGCGCATTACAATGATGAAAGAAAGAGGAAAAGTAAAGCTTAATATATCGAATTGTTTGTTATACCTGGATGATTCAAAATAAAATCCGCGTACACGATCAAACAGATGTTCAGATATCATTCAATGAATCGATGTTGAAACGTATACGTAGTAGTATCTACATAAGCTAACAATAAAATCCAAAGTTCAAATCATTAATTTCTAGACTAACAAACTCAGAATTTCGTGCTCTATTAGACTGTGTAACTTACAAATGAAACTGCTATTTCTTTTACCTGAAAAACTAGGAAATACTAGATGTCGAAAATAAAGAAAATTACCTTTTTCAAAGACTCTTTTTCGCTCGGAGTTCATCTGAAAATCATTATTCGTCCTTCAAAAATACCCATGGGGAAAGTTTGTCGAGATTTCACGCCGCTGGGGTCGTGCAGTTGCAACATTTCATCACCACTCCTCCGAGAGTCCTGAATGATTTTGCATTTTTGTACCACTTCTGTGCGAAAATCGTATAGTTTTAATCGAAAGTGTAGATTCCTGTAAAAGAAATGTCCGTATCCGTTTATCCCACACTAGCTCACACCTACTGCAAGTGTCGAACGCTCAGAGAAATTTCAGAGAAGGAATAAGTGGCATGCCAAAATCTAGACTACCCATGGTGAAATTTTGTCGAGTTTTCACGACGGGGTCGTGTCAGTTGCAACACCAACTGAGCGGTTACATGTGACCTTTCTATAATTTCATGCGTAAAATACAAGCGTAGAATTTAGGAAAAGCTTATAGAAAAAGTCCACCAGAAAGAGGAGACTTGATAACATATAAATTGAGAGGTGGGTAAGTCTCACAGAAAATTTTTGTGAATGATGATAACGATGACAGTGGTTTTTTAATGTTATGGTAGCTTTATATTTACCAGTTTCCAAAATGTTATAGTCATGGTGTGATCTACGGTGCGATATGGCTTATGACGAGGCACTATTGTCTCGAACTTTTTTGTAACATATATTCCCCTGTAAAACAAAAGTTGCAGTCGATTTTTTTAATATATCATCACTATAGAAATACATTTTAAAAAGAATATTATCTATCCTGAAAGTGCTCGAAGTTCTCCACCACCCTGTATATTTATGTCTTGTCTTGCATTTATTTCTTGAAAAATAAATTAAGTGTAATGACGGCCCCCTCAGCATCGGATTCCCAGAAATTGCAACGGGTGCGGCCTCTCAGTATTTTTTTCATGTTTCTTTAGGATCCATCCAAATGTTAATGTTATGTTTAAAAAGACGGGCCGCGAAATTCTCTACAAAACCATACTTAAATTTTAATTTTAGAGTTTCAATCAAGAAAACTACACAGATTATACGAAAGACGAAAAAAATGAAAACTTTGAAAATCTCTTATTTTTTCCACTTGAACCTTTTTCACGTGAACCTATTTTCGTAAAAAAAGGTTTGCAAAAGTGAGACGTCAGTTCTTTTGGTATTTCTGAATGAGCGTGCTCTTTCTCGTGGTCCGTAAAAAGGTCTTTTGGAATAGATGGTGTAGAAAAAACTAAAAAAGTAGCAAAAAAACGGAGCTTTTTGGTACTTGTCAATTGGGGTACCTTTGCTGTACTCAAATTATTTTTCAGCAAATAAATGCAAGACAATAAGCAAAATATATAGGATTGTAGAGGATTTCAAGCGGGTGCTTCCACACAGGTTCGCCCACTTTATACAGAGCATCTT